TTCGAAATAGTGTTTCGTTCAGTTGTGCCTCTGTTTCTTAGCTGCTATTAATACAGTGTGAATTAACACTAGATTTTTACATAATGGAGTGTGATATTGTCATACTTGTACTCAGATGTAAGCTACGTTGACACACAGATTACACTTATCGATAGATTTTTTTGATTTTAATCATTTTGTTCGATCGTATAAATAATCATGAAATAATCAGCTCCATTAAAACTGTTTCTAGTTATGTAATGTTCTCTGTATGCGAAATAGTTTAGTTCTAAAGCAAGAAACATTCACTGATGCGCTTGTCCAGAACAACATTGAAAGTTTCACAATTAGTCCTATCATTTCATAAGTTAATTCTATTAGAGACCTTCAATAATGAATATTTGAGTTTCACTTACAATGTAAGTATATGCCATCATGGACTACCATATAATGAAGTTCAACACTTTCAGTAAAACGTTTCTAAAAAAGAAAATAACGATTATGGCACTTTCCAGCGCTGTTCCAATCAGCTAAGTAACAAACGTGTACTACTTTACAAGTGGCAAACTTTATCCATTTTTTTCATAAACTACAACAGTATATCTCCAGTCTCTAAGTGAATAGTAAGCAGTAGGTAGATAAGTGGATAAGGAGGATAAGAGTCTTAAGTAAGCAAATAACTAGATAATTAATTATGTCATTTCTATTTACTTAGAAAGGCAATACTTCCAGAGTAGGCGGCCTATGCTCCACTAGGATAATAGGCATAAGTAAGTAAGTAAGTAAGAAAGGCAATACTTAGCGTACTAGCATAAAATAACATCATACGCAAAACAATCTAATAGTCTAATCACATTGATAACCAAGGCATCAATGCTAATTAATTAAAAAAAAATTCAGTAATTTCATCATCATTTTATTATTGGCAGGAACCATCAGAGCTAAATAGAAAATGTTGAGATGAACCATACTTGTTTATCAGGGTGAAATTAGTTTTCTTGTGAATCATTTAGAAAACCAATCACTTATACCACCGTGACTGCACTATCTCTGTCCTAATATTAATAGAACAAAGGTTGTTACAGTAATTAATCATGATATTTGATCTATTGAAGAGGTCAGACAGATCAGTCACTATCATTTTTAATCCCTTACTAACAAAACAGAAGCTGAATCATGGTTTATTCGGTTAATTAATATATAAAGTCAAATAAGTGGTTATCAGTTTTCTAATTATCTGTTTGTCTAGAAAAATTTCACCGGTTTAATTTGCTTTAATTTAATGACTAGTAAAAGTCAGATTTGATTCAGCTAAATTTAACATGTGTGGTAAAACCTGGTGAACTTTATTGACCAATGAAATGATTTATATTTATGATTTCATTTGTTGTATTGTTAGTCATTCTAGTGTGTAAATAGAAATGTACAGAACTTGGCGACTGGTTTTACTTTTAGCAATGACAATCTATCCGCTAACGGTTTCAAATTGTTAAAACTTCTTCGGTTTATCTTGATTCTGATATATGTTACATTAAATTACAAACATGGAGAATAGGTCAGCGGTATAGTAATATTGTTATTAGAAAACAATGAGCAATTTATTTCATTGTCCACTACCAAGGACAATAGATCTCCACCATCTCAAGATAGTTTGTCTGTTATAAATATGAAAGTGTATATTAATAAAACAAACCAGTTGAAGTATATGTACAAACCGATCATTCACTTAGTTAATTGTCTTGTTAGAATAATGGTGAATTTTATTCATGACAAACAGGTAATGAATGTTACGGTCCTTATATATATTGCTAAACGACAGTTCACATCACGTAACTGTATTCCATCTCTTCTATTGACGCTAGTTTTGATCTATCTTTACAAAAGCCAAAACGCTTTTGAAGTACATTTGTCTTACCCTCGTTTTCAATCTATTTTCAAACTCCCTGAGTTCATTTGAGAATTTAAAAACATGTCTTATTTTTTGTGTTCTTTCACCTCAAAAATTCAACCTTCTGAATATCTCTCCCTCATATCCTATCCTTTACATTCATTAATACTGATCTAATGGTATCTTTGTCATACTCTAGTGATAATACTAGTCATTATACTCTAATTATTTATAATCCTTTTTACTTATTCTAACATTTCTTTATTGTATAAGGTTACTAGACTGAACATTTTAGAAGCGCTTTAGATTAACTAGATGAAATTGAATTTAATTCAGTCTATTTTCTGCCTCTGTAACAAGCTTGCTGCTTCCGTTTATCACATTTGTGGCTCTCTCAAAGAGAGTGTACTAACGTATGATCTAGATATTCCTCAGAATGTGTTGATTTCCTCAACATACTAGTTCTACACTATTTTTATATATTGCTTCAATCAGATGATCTATAAATTATAGTTTGCGGTCGTCAGGTACGAACTCCTTGGTCAATTTCTTGTTTTTCTGAACAATGTGGTGTGTTTGTGCCATATATTTCAAATAATCTGGTCATACATATACTTGTCAAGGAATTTTCATGAAAATTAATAGTGGTCAGTTAATTTGAAATTCAAATAAACATTAAGTGATAAGTGTAAATAAAGAAGAGAGAAATTCAACGTATTACAGAAACAATATATCACATTTTTCAAACCAACTCTGTTTTCTCACTGTTCTATCAAAATTCATAAAACAGACTAAGCACTTTAAATATTGTTTTTCGGTTCAAAAATCTCTTCCGATCTATGTTGTTTGATTATGACAAACATTTTATCCACATATCGTAACCGAATTCTTGGTGAACATCCTTATATTATAAGTGCATTATTTTGTAGAGCATGTATACAATAGCCTTTACTGTCTAACCCATCTCTACCCCTTTCCTGAAAAAAGAAATGAGGGAAAAACTAGGTATGGTCGATAGCCTCTATGGTTGAATGCGTCCAACCGCTACCTCGCACCTCAACATAGTCAGCGCAATTTCGGGCCACCTAGACTAGTAGTCACATTGTAAGTTGACTGATTGAATTTGCTCAGCACTAAGAATCTCCTGACATACATGACACTGATCACTACTCACCGACCAATCACTTGTAACTATCTGTACTACCGACTACTGATTTTGGTCTGTAAGTTCGTTCAGATTTTGATGAATATTCACATCACTCTCCATAAATCATTCAAAAAAGATTGTTATTTTTGTCGAACAGAAAAATCCTCGGGAAAATTCCCAGCGTAACATGTTTTTTTTATAAAAAAAAAATTTGTTTTACGTTGATTTAAATTATCATTTATGTATCACGTAGATTCATTGTAATACTGATATCGATAAACATATAAATGGCAACCAGTCATATATGCATTCACACTGATTAAAAAATAATCTGAAAAATATACAGGCACAACTGATAGGAGCTGTAATTATTGAAAAAAAATATCATATTTCGAAGCGAATAAATATACCTAATGAAAGTGTATATGTTACTAAACAAGGACACTTTTTATGAGAACATAAAGTAATCTGATATGTAGGTAATCACTTAAAAAATAATACTATTTTAGATGATAATTCTTGAACACGATGATTGCTGATATTATATAAGACCTATTTCTTAGACTGGAAAACGCTAATATATATATATATATATATATATATATATATATATATATATATTTCGTTTTCATCTATGCAGAGCTACACTTAGCTTAACCTAGTTGAAGTCACTAATTAATTGGAAAAATAGACGAAAATAGGTTTTGTCGAAAAGTGAATACACGAATAAGATCTGGCTGTATTTTCATGTCTCTTATTTATTATTGTGCGAAAATTGAAGAAAATTTCCATTATACAAACCAAAACTAGTTAGGTTCATTTCACAATCAATTACACTATTGTATAGTTGACCAATAAGATATTCTTGAACTTTTACCCGTATTAGTTACTTCGGTAAAGTCATACAAGTTAGCTGAATCTTAACCAATTACCAGAATGACTTCACAGTATTTTTCCTATGTAGTGTTTCCAGGTGCTAGTGCATTCGATCATTGGATCGATATTTGGTTTGTCTTTGTTTGTCCCTTGGTCTGTATTATAATGTTTGTAAGGATTTTCTTGATTTTTTCTCTACCTCTATTCCTTCAAGTCTTAATAATCTGCTTTTAATCTTGAAGATGTTTTCATGTGGAGTAGAATTCGTTTGGTGATCTTTGTTGTTGATGTTGTGCTAGGTGACCGGTTTGACAAACATTTCTTGATGAAATTCTATGCACTGACAATAAAAGCCTTACGATTTAATTATGCAGCTCAGACAACAAAACACTCACCGCCAAACCAATCATCATGAGCTGCAGATATTCCCCAACGTTTTTATTCCGTTACAAGCATAATGATGATTAAAACGACATGATTCCTTTGATGAAATTCACTGCAAATCAACATTTATGTCGAAAAAAATGTCACTGATTGACCGATAACATATTAACTTGACAGTTTATTTTATCATGTTACGAGACCCTGTCGTATAATTGTTCATCATTCTTTATCGATCTTGATAAATATTTAAGCTTCTGTTAGTTACATTTTTACTCCTTAATTCAGGGAAATGACATGTTTTATTCTGCAAATCATTATCAATAAAAATAGTGCTGTGATTACGATTAGTATAACCGTTGTTGTGAATATAGACATATCGTCTAGTATTATTATAAAAAAAACTCGCGTCTGCTATCACTATAAACATTTCAGAATGATTTAGCCAAGATGAGTTCATCATTGATACAATCTATCTTGTCTTTAAAAAATATCCCATATTCTCTCAAACATCTTTTTCTGATTATCTGAAATGATTAGTTTGAAATATCAATTAAAATAGGTGCTTGCTATCAATAAAAGGTTACTCATATACAATCTTACAAAATAATGTTTACATGCAATCTTTGTGAAATATTTTGTTTTTCGCTAGTTTTAATTCAGTAACAATGATAAACTTATGGCAGCGGACGAAAAATTTATCGTTAGACGATTATCTTCATATTTTAGGAAATACCAACAATTTCGATAGTTTAATGAACAATGCAAGTCAGTTGGTAGTTGATTCGTCTCAGTGTTATCAACAACAGCAACAACAACAGCAACATCAGCATGCAATGACACGAAACAACGCGAGAAATTTAATGACTTCTGGATCATTTAATCTATCATCCGGAACAGCTTCATGTACAAGTGCAGTGCCGTTGTCTTATGGTTTAGGAACAATGGATATGGCCTTATTAAATTCAAACGAATCCAATTATTGTATCCGTTCGTCACAAAGACAAACCGTGAAAATAAGGCCGACTAATATTGGACGACCTGACTTTTGATTTATCTGTGCATTATGGTTGAATAAAGTTCAACCATGGTTATATTTATCCAAAACAGTTGATATTCACGCACTTGTAAACAAGATGTTATATCATATAAAACTTGAAACATTGAACGAAGGTCAAATATTAAAAGAATTACTTTCTTTGAGTCTCATTCAATTTATTTTGACGAATAATGACATGATTTCCATTATATTATTGCATTATTCATAAATGATGATTCCTTCATTTGTTTCCCTTTAATTAATTATTTTTCAGTTTAAACACACTGTTCTCATCTTTGTAAATAAGTTAATTTGTTACTGGTGTTCCAGTTAGTTTTCTTCTATTCTTTACATTTTCTGATGAAAATCTGGAACCTGAAACTAATCAGTCTACATATTCTAACATTCATTTACATTACCATACATTAATCTATCTAGAATTTACTTTCAGTTCACTTATTGATTGGAGACAAAACAAAATAAATCAAATTATATTTGAAAGAGAAATGATTCGGTGATATTTTAGGTTGATGTTGGCTAGCACAGTAAAACAAATCAACAATTATTAATTATAACTTTTATCAAAGTAGCTTATAAATTCCTTTTCAATTGAATAGTACTGTATATGCGTAACTTTAGACTTGTATTCTGTATAATTTATTATTTTAATTCCGTTTTATTCGTAATTTATATGCTATTTTAAAAAATTTTAAAATTTCCATTTTGAAAATGTAAACGTATTCAGCTTTCACAAACAAATATATATAAGTACTCAGCTTAAATGATCGTAATCAAAGCTATACTTTTCTTGTCGACATCCGTTCAAAGTAAGGAAAATGGAAAAAGCATCACTGAGAACACAAAGAAAGAGCAAACATTATGCAAAACTTTTCCGACAAGACTGAAGATTTATAAAGAATTGATTATTTAAACTTTTTAATTGAGTAGCTACACGGCGGAACTCGTAATCTCTGATCAATCTCTCCGTAATAGTAGTAGTAGTATTATAAACTAACTAGATATCTTTTTTCATATTTTCTTTTAAATCGGTCATAGAAGGATTTTGTGGAAGCATGATGATTAGTGAAGCATAAATAAAGTACTGAATGTTGTCACTAGTTAGTGCTGTGGAGTTTCTTCACCCCCTGATATCAAGATTAGAGCATCGATCGTCTTTTGTAAGAGTGACTGTCTGGATAATCTTCCTACTTATACATCCTAGTTGGCTTTGGAAACAGTGGTAAAACCAAAAAAAGTTAATTGTAGTAACTGATTTGTACATATGTAACTCCATGCAACTAAAAGTAATATTCATTCATGATGAGGATTGAATACATGTTGACCACTAGTCTGATTATTGACTGTGAAGTTTGATGAACCAGTAAAAAAGAGTCAAAAACAGCATCACTATCGTGTAAACACCGCCTATTGTTTATCTGTCTGTGAGAATCTCCCATATAAACAGTTCAGAAGATTTATAAATACACTCCAGCAGCATGAAATATAAACATCGGTTATGCCAAATGTGAAGAATATAAAGTAACAGGAAAAAACTGAATTTCAGCCCAAATATTTGTTATGAATAATGAACATCAAAACATAAAAATGGCACACATGAAAAAAATATGAGTGAATTTATTCAGATATTTTAATTCTCTGGAAAACAATGTACTTTTTAAGTTTACAAATCTCTCCCCTGTTCAAATTACCCAGTGGACAATGAGTAGGAATTTGAATGGAATACCCTTTTACTCAAGCTATAATCTACATATCAAGAAAACTGGGCATAATTTATTTAATCCAGGAGATGAATAAGGTGAAAATAATATCAAACCTTGATAGTGTTACAAATCCAGTCTTCATAAAAACTCACTTAAGGTCGACAGTATTACACTCAGCTTAACAATAACTGCATATAAATTACCATACAAGCCTAGTCATTTCATAAATTCTTAATCAGTTTGTAGCCAGGTAGCGTCAAATTTTAGGTGGAATAACAATAGTAACTAGGATGTAGTAAACCCAACAAACGCATTCTAAATTGAACAACATGCATACCATGTACTCATGAAACATTTTTTACTGTAAAGTAAATGCTTTTCTTTCTCTCATTAAAAGTTACTGTCTACTAAGTTGTTAATAATGTATATATATATATATATATATATATATATATATATATATATGAGTCAAAGTAATATGAAGATTAAGCTCACTAATTGAAAAGTAGTATTTACAATAAGTAATATTGACGATGATAACCCACCACTTTCAAAGCATCATTTAAAGATGACATTATAAAATCAGTAAAGTCTAATTAGAACAATAAACTAAGATAGCGGCGATATCATGGTAACAGTGCAGACATCGTAAATAAATATCCACGATCAGTCGTTTATGTCATGAATTTATGTAAATTTACCCTGTATTGTCAAGGGCAATTTTACATTAGTTTTCAGGAGAACCAAAGAGACTGTGCTCATGTTTTACTATAACTACATGAACAGTTCGGCTCAATCCTGTGGTGCAACCACACAGGTACCTGATACCCTGGTGGACCATTCACACCATTTATATATACACACTGGTATATATATTTCCGATCCATGATCGTGTCAATCAATATGCAACGCATGAACAGGCCATTTTGACCCATCCCGCTTACATGACTGTCAAACTCATTACTATTAGGAATGGTGATATGTAATACAGAACCCCAATGACAATGGATCTCGGGAATGTTGCAAAACAACCACCTATATCAATGAAATCAGTCGCCCTGCTAACCAAGTTTGTATACAGACTGTTAGAAATGCTTACCAAAGCAAAGACAAGCCATACACAATGTTCACAGCGAACCTCTAGTCTCATAGGAGACCTTCAGCTCTATATAGCAGTATAGCATATGGTGTACACATATATGGCGCAGGATAGTAGAAGAGGCAGCCCATCTTGAAGCAAATAGGCCCAAACACTTCTATTACCCTTTGTCTCATGTCGGACCTGAGTTAAGGATAGTATCGCTACGATCAGTCGTACTGTAACTAATTTCACTAACGAGAAAAACGTTCTAAACTATTTACTACATTTTAGAATGTTGAAAGAAACGCTCATCGCTAATTGTTGACCCTAAATTCTGCCTAAAGAAGAAAAGGATATCTGAAATCAAACGATGCTTCGTTGGAATGTACATTATCAAGAGAGATCGATCAGAAATACAGATTTTTTAAAAGTTCATAGTCAGATGGCTTCTAGACTTCTTCATGTACTTCAAAAAAAGTTACAATAGGAATAATGGTTACAGTGACGGTCAAACATAAAAGTTACGTAGGATTCATTGATGAAGTTTTAATGAAGTTTTAATACATAAAAATCACCTTGTTGATTCGCAAGAAGCAATCCATATTAACAACGAGAAGCGCAGTATAGTGTTATTTAACAGTTATTATTGTTTCTCTAATGAATTCTATGAAAAAAAGCTGTGACGTCATAGAGACCGTTTCATAAATTTATCAAGAAACCTAGTCAATTGTGTTTTCAACTACAGCCCTGAACGTTACAGATATGAAATGTCTGTTGGACATGGAACAGTTTACAAATTATTTCTTAACTTTAAAACCCGAAAATGATTTATAAACAGGATTCATATCTCTATTGAATGGACTGAACATCAAGAAGATTGTTTTATATTCCAAGTGAAAATACATTGTTAACCTCCCTATAAGCATAGAAATTGGATTTCTGATGACTTGGAAATCATTGTAAGTTACTTCTTCTAGGAACGAGTTTCTTTTAGTTAACGACAGTTTAGTTATTTGAAGGTACAGATCAGATTAGTTAGTTGTATATACAAAAAACTTCAGTTATATCATTCAGGGATAGAGATATCCGATTGTCCAATCTGCTCAGTCTGTTCAAGACTGCAATTGGAACACAAAACGGAACGACTCCTTAACAATGGAGTTCTATATTCAGATGCACCTATATGAACATAGCTAAAGGCTGAACTCGTAATCGAAAAAAACGCAACTGTTTGTTTGCGTGAACTAACTATCTGGTCTAATTTACTCCTCATAACAAGTAAACTAATGATGACTTGAAGATTCGCCGAAGAAGTGGCTTACACCTAATTCTCTTTCGGCAGACATTGGTATTTCTCGTCGCACTTGCAATATTAAAAGTATATTCTTATTTTTGTAGTCAATATTTACAGCTACAGGTATATATTAATAATGATTGGGTTTGTTTTGCTGTTCCATATACTCAATAACAAATTCACCAAATTCAACGAAAGTACATTGTCTTTCAAATATTAGTGTTGTTATTAGCTTATATATATATATATATATATATATATATATTTGCACTTTCGGTTATACCTAGTTTGGAATTTAGCCTTTTATTTGTCAAAACTAGATCAAGCACTAATTTTATTGAATAGTATATCTAGTGATCAGGATAAAACTGTAAGGCAATATGATTTCATAAACATTCATTAAGACACATTTGATTCATTGCTGCTTTCTTAATCCCTAGCTTCTGTTGTAGTTTACTGAACCAAACTATGAAAGCAGGTTTTAAGATTTACCAATTAGTTTATCAATTAACACTGGTAGTGAATTAAGTTTGAAACCTATTGAAAATCTTGAACTAAAGCACCGTGTTATGCGAAAAAGATGACCTTTTTCAAAAGTAATCTACCGATTAATCTGATTCATTCAAACTACTTTGAAGCTTAAAACCGCCAATTTTTTAGCTCACAAATGATAAGCTTAGTTTTTAGGTTTTCTTTCGATCTAGACGGGAATAGACAAACTGAGTAATTTGTATTTTGACCATTGATTAATCCTGTACTGTTGTTGTACTTTAGTTTACATAACAGGCGTTGCTATTGGTGCTCATTTGTTATCTGATTTTGTTTAAACAGACCATCGTATAATAAATTAGTCATAAGTTAGAAAGGGAAATAATATTTTAGTTTATTTTCATTTGTATTGAAAGCACTAAATAGATAATTTATCAACTTGACTACATATATTCAACTCTAGAAGAGATGAAAAGAGCCGAAACTGTGCGTGATTTCGACAACGCAAGAAATAAATAAATAAATGGAAAAAAAATTAGGAGACGGAAACTAAATGAAAAGCAATTAATAATGAATTAATTGTTCCATTAATGGTAAAGTTGAGAGCTAGTGCCGATTTCTGCTGAGATGAAAACTAACATTCAACCAGCTTCACACATTCATTGACATTAGCACTCGGTTCACTTTGAAAACTACCAACTTTATCCAATTGTATAGTTTAATTCTTCCAGCTTGAGTGTTTGAGGAAAGAACTCGACTAAGTCTTTCAGTTAAATCTCTTGATCTTATTGTTTCTTCTTTACAAGGTGTTGTTCAGTCATTAACTGAAGTCTGGGCTTGAATTGATTTGTTTTCACTGGTTCAGTTGATGAAGTTGATGTTTTATTGACATGGATTTGGTAAGAATTCGGCAATACTTTTTTTATCTGAAGAAGCACTTCGGCAATCGCTCATTTTTATGAAATCATTATTAATTGTCACCTGTTATGTGACGCTATATGGAAGACTTAGGATTAAAAACACAAACTGAACCAAAGATGAATATGATACTGAAAAGTATGAAGAATGAGTTAATCATCGACCGCAATGTATTCGAACGTTTAACGACACCGAGTTCTTCAATCCCACTGTTTTATGGGCTCCTGGATGTACATAAAAATGATCTCCTCCTTCTCTCAGTAATCGATATGAATAATT